CCGGCCCCCACCGCATTCTGCCGCGGGGACTGGCGTGCGGCCCACGTGCTCGACTGGCTCTCCGGCTCCCCTTTTCTCCGCGTGACCTCCTCAGCCCCAGCAGCACCGACCTAAAAACTGTGTCTGTTCTCAGGAATGCGCAGGGTCACGCTGAAGCCAGTGCGGGCAGCCCCCGCCCCCGTCTCGTGTCCTCGGGTACCGACCCTCCCAGCACCTGCCCGCACAGGCCGCTGGGTCCCCAGCCCGTGGATGAGCCCGCCAAGACCCACGGACCCTCAGATTCACCCAAATTCACGGGGCTGCTATGTGATCCCACCCCTATCTGCACTCCCAGCCGTGTGCTCCTTTCTAGTTCTCTGACACCGCCTGTTGGTTGTTTTGCTGTTGTCTTTGGTGCCCCTAAAAGGGAATACCGGAGGCAAACGCAAAATAAAAACCAGAAGGCCGTGTCGGCTCCGGTGCCGCCTCGGGTCTGTGGCCCACGTTTGGGAAAGCACTGCTCTGGGCAGGCCACGCAGGTCTCTCCCGGCAAAGTCCTTCCTCCCGGCCCCGGAGCCAGCCTTGACGCGGGTGCACGGCGGAGCACCCGCAGCCTCACCTGTCTGCCTCATCGAACACCACGTACTCCACGCTCTGCAGCTTCAGGTTCATCTCCACAGCCACGTGCACCAAGCGCCCGGGGGTGGCAATGATTCTGGAAGGGGGGGGGTGCGGGCTGGGTCACCCGGGGCCAGGGCCGCCGGCAGAGCCCTCCCCACACTCCCCAGCAGTCGGCCATCAGGGAAGGGGCCCCAGACCGCCATCCTCAACCCAAACTCACACGTCGGGATTTTCGTGCAGGGCTGCAAACTGGTCTTCTATCCTAGGGGGGAGAGGAGGTGCGAGCGAGACGGAACGGGTCACTTTAGTCCCTCTCCATAACCAGACACCCAGGCGAGGCCCACACCCCAACCCGAGTCTCAGACGCGGGGAAAGGCTATTGCTGTCGTACTAGGCAGAGGCACTGCCCTGACAAGACTTACAAGTTCAAACATACAGAAGGACTGATACCACAAAGAACTCCCACCGGGTTCCCGTCCTTGCCCTCAGACCCCTGGGTGCACAGCCCTAACTTGAGTCCTCCTCTGACACATCCTTGGGACCCCTGGGGGAGCCAGAATTTTGAGTGCGGCCTAGCACAGCCCAGGGAGGTGTTTCTGGTGATCACAAGCCCCCACTTCCCCAGGGTGCTCATCTGTGGGACAAGTGTGCTGACTGCACATACACACACGCGCACACGCACACACACACACACACACACACACACACACACACACACACACACACACCCGCCAGAAGGTGGTACCAGCACACTTTCTCAACTGGGGCGATTACAGACCTCCCTGATGTCTGGGCAACAGCTCACAAGTATGTGCACGTATTAAAACACATACAACCGAGCTACCCATTTAGTTGACCCTGCGCACTGGTGGCTCCCTCAGGAGCCCCGGATCCTCGGTCCAAGTTCTAGAACTTTGGTCGGAGTTGTGTGGGAAATTCCTGGTGTTTTACTGCACGTTTCCCTCCTTTGAGGAGTGTGCACAGACACTGTTCGTGAGCAACCCAGGCTCAGTCTGATACCCTGGAGACACGGGGTATGCTTTCATGGTGGTGACCGTGGCACGGGGCAAGGGCACACTTACTTGTCCCCGCCCAGGATCAGGGCGGTTCTGAGGCCTGTGAACTTGCCCAACTGGAGAGAGAGAGAGAGAGAGAGATGACTCAGCTCGCGCAGGCCTCCCTGACCGGCCCCAGCTCAGCCCAGCGGCCCCGGCCCCAACACACCTCCTTGGTGAACTTCATGGTCTGCAGGGCCAGCTCGCGGGTGGGCGAGAGGACGAGGGCACGGGCCCCGGTCTGGGCGCTGCGGGTCTTGAGCCGCTCAAACATGGGGATGAGGAAGCAGGCCGTCTTGCCGCTCCCCGTCCGGGCCATGGCCACCACGTCCTTGCCATCCAGGATCATCGGGATGGTCTGGAGAGGCATGAGCAGGGGGAGGGGAGGGTCAGCTCCACGCGATCCAGAGTGTCGAGTGCCCCGGGGTGTGGGCGAACTGGGGTTCTTGTTAAGTGGGAAGGGGCTTGTTGCCCAGTCCTGAGCCCATTCCTGCCAAGGCTTATTTGTACACTTGCAGGGACAGGCAGCTCACTACCCCCGCCTCTTTCCGTGGCTGAAACACCGTTCTTTAGGTCAAGCCAGACTCTACCTCCCTGTCTCATCCTCCTCCTCCTCCTTGGGACCCCAGAGAATCGTGGTCTACATCTTGGCTAAATGTCTGAGGACAACACCCACAAGCAGGGGGTGACAATGGGGTGCCTGTGAGTTGCCCGGGCGGGGGCTCAGTGGTAGGCAGCCAGGGGGAGGCTCAAATGGCAAAGAGGCCCGACTTTCTCCACCAGTGAAACGGACCAGCTGTGTGGGGCTTCAGCCAGACTAAGAGGGGATCATCGTGACAGCCGGGACAAGGGGTGGGTGTCAAGAGGCTGGACAGGAGGACCAAGTCGGTCGTCCCCTCCTCCCCAACTCCATTAACTTGCCCCATCTCGTACCTTCCTCTGGATGGGTGTTGGCACCTTGTAGCCCTTCTTCATGATGCCCTTGAACACTGGGTAGCTCAAGCCTGGGAAAGACACAGGGATGGTCAGGGGGAGGGGCGACCCTAGGGCCCGTTACAGAAAACTACACGGGACAAATGACTGTGTCATCAACAAATTAACAGCCAGAAGAAAAGAAAAGCGACAGAATAAAACTGAGAGAGACTCGGGAGATGCACCTGCTGACTGGGGGGGGGTGGGGTGGGTGGGCATGAACCTCCTGGGGATTGCTTTGAACACACTTAGTGCCACCACACACCTGGGGTCTGAGAGTGGTGGGGGCTCACAGGGTGCTGGGGAGCTGTGCCTGTTCAGGCGTGGTAAGCTCCTGCGTCTCCTGGAGGCATGTGGGAATTATTCAGGGATACCAGAGCGGAGGTCTGCGATTCGCTTCAGAATCCTCCGGGAAGACGGGGACAGAGGACACAGGACTAACTGTTGAAACTGGCAATGGGTACCGGGAGCTCACTGTTTTCTAGTTTTTGATACGTTTGAAATTTTCTATAGATAAAAGAAAGGGGGGTAAGTTGCCAGGGCCCATGATGGGCACGGGCGTGGGTGCTGACAAACGAAGCACGTGGTCCCACGTGGGGGAGGTGGCCTTTAGAGACTGAATGGGACGGGCCTTGCGGCAATGGGACGGCAAAAGGAGGCCTGGGGACAGGGAAGTACCATGGTTGTAGCTGGTTTTTGGTCAATCCTTCATTTTTACAATTCAGGAAGGCAGAAAGTAGCCACGTGTAAATGTTTTTATTTGCTTTTTCTCTAATTATTGATGAAATTTAGCACAGTTTTAGTACATGAACCTGCTGTCTAAATTCCTTTTGCGAGCCGACTCTTCATTTCCTTCACCCAATTTTCTATCAGGGTATCTTTTTCTTATTGATTCGTAAAAGCTCTTCGTATATCAAGGATATCAACCCTGTATCTGTCCGAAAGGTTGCAAGTATATCCCTGAGACAGCATTTACTTTAACTCAGTTTACAGCGTTTTTTGGCATACATATGTCTGATTGAAAACAAGTCAAATTGGACAATGTTCAGATCATACTTACAAAGGGCTTCTTTTTTTTATTTTTTATTTTTTTTTATTTTTTTATTTTTTTAATTTTTTTTTTTTCAACGTTTATTTATTTTTGGGACAGAGAGAGACAGAGCATGAACGGGGGAGGGGCAGAGAGAGAGGGAGACACAGAATCGGAAACAGGCTCCAGGCTCTGAGCCATCAGCCCAGAGCCCGACGCGGGGCTCAAACTCACGGACCGCGAGATCGTGACCTGGCTGAAGTCGGACGCTTAACCGACTGCGCCACCCAGGCGCCCCAGGGCTTCTTTTTTTTAGAATTACAAAAATATTCACCTTGACATTTAAATCTTTGTGCCGGGTGCTACTGATTTGTAAAGAGCAAGAAAGAGGGTTTAGCGTTATTTCCAGTGAGCCAGGTGTCCCAGTCCCACCCAGCTATTCCACCTTCCCTCCCTCTGCTCTGAAACACATTCTGTCATGCAGTAAATCCCCGAATGTCCTGGCCCGTTCTGTCGCCAGCACTGCTTTAACGGCTCTCTCGCTGGGCCAGGCCTCAGTGCACCAAACAGTTGCCACAGTGCTGGGCCCAGAGCAGACATCAGTCGCGGACCGCAGAGGGCATGACGAGCCCCTGCTCCTACTGCCCCACTGTCCCCGGATGCCTGGCGTGATCACCCACCCATGGACTGGAAGCCTCCGGATTTCTTCTTCTTCTTGTTCTGGGCTCGTACCATGTCCCGGGTGTCGGGCTCCACATCTGAGGTGCATTCCGAGGTGGGGAAGGTGGGCAGGGGTCTGCCAGGTCCCAGCTGGGAGGGAGGAACGGAGAGGCGGTGTCACTCCAGGCACAAACAGACCACGGGGAACAGGGAATGTCTTGCTGCGGACGTCCCCCCCACATTCAGGCCAATGTCGCCCCTGCCAGATCACGTGACTTCTCTACGAAAGGGCTCTCCTACAACCGGGCCAGGGCAGGGCAGGGGGTCAGAGAGTGGGCTGTGTAGACGGACTGCCTAGCTTTCAATCCCAACTGTCACTTACCAGTTGTGAGACCTCAGAACAGAGACTTTATCTCCCTGAGTCTGTGTTTCCCCATCTGGGAAACGTGGAAGACGGACCATGGCACACGCCTCCCTCGGTGTTGTAAAGACTAAATGGGTTAAGTAGAAAGCCTAGAACAGCACCCAACACATGCCTGGGGTGTCACCATCATTGTCATTCTGGCCTGTCATTCAAAGCCCGAATGAAAAACTCTAGGGGCGCCTGGGTGGCTCCGTCGGTTAAGCGTCCGACTTTGACTCAGGTCGTGATCTCGTGGCTCATGGGTTCGAGTTCTGTATCGGGCTCTGTGCTGACGGCTCAGAGCCTGGAGCTCAGATTCTGTGTCTCCCTCCCTCTGCCCCTCCCTTGTTCATGCTGTTTCTCTCTGTCTCAAAAATAAATAAAACATAAAAAAAAAAAAAAAAACTCTAGAGGGTCAATCAAAGCATGCAGTGTGTGTGTGGTACTAGACTTTCCAAGCTGCCCTGTTCTGGTCCATCACTTGTCCCCACTCTGCTCTCTCTCTCCTGTTGGCCTTCTTCCCGCTTATCCAGAACCTTCTCACTTGTCCTGGCACAGCTATACCAAACCCAGACACCTCCTCTGGGGAGCCTTCTCAGACCACAGGACTGTCCCCCTGGCTCTCCTGAAATGGCACACACATTTCTGGAGAGCCTGGTCGCTCAGTGGGTTGGGCAGGTGTCGACTTCAGCTCAGTCCTAGATCTCCGCAGGTTAGGCGACTTGACATTCCATGTCAGGAGACTCTGTGCTTTGTTGTCAGAGCACCAGACCTCTCTTTCGAATTCTGTGTCTCCCTCACACCTCTCTCTCTTGCTCTCCCTGCTCATGCTCTATCTCTCTCTCCTTCAAAAATAAATAAAAAGCATTAAAACAATTTAAAAGAAATTAAAAAAACAACATTTCTGGAGCACTAATTCATGATAATGGTTAAAATTTCCATGAACTTTTCAGCCGAGTGCTGCTCTGAGCATTCATATATAAATTGACTCACCAATTCTCACACAGCAACTCTGGGAAGTGATCTGTCCATTTTAGAGAAGAGAAGGAAACAGAGGCCACCGGGAGCCATGGTATTACGAGCTCACCACAGGTCCATAGGGATTTGAACCTTTCTTCAAACTCTATGTTCTTTCTCTGTGACCACTCATCGTCCAGCATCTGGGCCAGGCTGAGAGAAACTAAGAATGGATTTTACGTTGCATTGAAAGGTTAAAAAAAAAAAAAAAAAAATCAAACAAGCAGACAGTGCCATTGGCCCCCATGAAGCCTAGGCCATCTGGTCCTGAATGGAAGGTTTGCGTGGGCCTGTGAAACAGGTGCTTGGAACACACTGGAAGTTTGAAATGTTTACTGAATGAGCAGATACGAACACTGTAATTTCACCCTCTCACTTTTTCTGCCAACAGTCTTTGGGCGGCATATGCATAATCCTCTTGCTTCCTGTATGCGTGGAAACTTCTTGCCCTCTAGATGTTTGTGGCACAGAGCAGTTAACCAATGCTCACAGTTCCACAACCAGTACAGGGTTGGGCCACATTTGAACACAGGGCGAAGCTCTTTGTCTGAACCAGATCCATGGGCTCTTCTTTGGCACCTGCGCTCTGTGCCCTCCTGTGCTCTAGTAATTTCTCCACATTTATAGAGCACCTACTGTGTGCCAAGCACTGGGTTCACTGGGGTGAGGCAACACATTAAGATCCTGTCTGGTCCCTGACCTGGAGGAGCATAGATCCCTCTCTTCATATAAACATGCACTCTTTCATCTACTTATCCAGACCCTGCTCTGGCAACCAGACACCGGTATCTGGTCACGGCTGAAATAATGGGCTTTTAACTCTTTAATAATTGGTGCTCACATTTACCTGCCGCCAGTTGGCACTCAGCAGCGGAAAACAGTACAAGCCCTGGAACCGGAGGTCTGAATCCCGACTCTCCCGCCCACAAGCTGCGAAGTCTTGGTCAAGCTCCTGAACCCCTTCAGGCCTCAGGGTCCGCCTCTGGAAAATGGGGAAGGCCGCACTTGGCTCAAGGGGCTGGGGTGCGGATTAAATAAATAAGGCATGTAAAGTTCTCAGCAAGGAGCCCGGCACATGGAGCCTGGCCAGCAAACGCATGTTTAATTTACTATTGGTTACCCAGGGCGGCGTCAATGCCTCAAACCACGCGGCCCAGCCTCCCCTTAATTTAACCTCACAAGAATCCCGCAAACTCTCCAAGTCGGAGTTTCGGCACCCGCACTTTTCATTGGACCAAAAGGAGCGAGGACCCGCCCCCTGGGCGAGAAGTAGCCAATGAGGCGCGCGCGACCAAAAGCCGGCCAGGAAGGCCCGCAGGCCCCGGACCCCGGAACCCAGAGACTCTGGGCCATCGGGAGCCGCGGCATGACGGGCACGGACGCACGTGCTCACGCCGGCGGCCCTGCCCCCGACCCCCGGCCACCCGACCTCTCCCCACCCTCAGCTGTGACCACTTCCCCAGCTGGGGAAACCCAAGCGCGGGGCGATGCGGGGGGCTGGGGCTCGGGCTCCAAAGTGTGTCGCGGCCCCGCGCTCCTACCTTCTGGGCCCGGGCGTCATCTTCCGCCTGAATCTCAAACTCGCCGTCCTCTGAGTCGCTGCTGCGAGCCTGGGAGGCCGCGCCTCGGCGCTTCCGCAGCCCCTTCTTTTTCCTCCACTGGGCCATGGCAGCACGGGACCGAGGTCCGGCCGCCGGGCGCGTGCCAGCCGCCATGCGGGCCCCGGCGCAGGGAACCGGGGAAGGGGGCGGGGCCCGCGGGGACGTACCAACGGCGCGGCCGAGGAGGGGGCGCCGCGTCTACGTGGCCCCGCCTGCGCTGCCTCCCTTTTGCAGTCCCGGGAGGCTTGGGGCGCACACACAGACCCGCCCCTGACTGGCGTGAGAGGTCCCTCTCTAGGCTTTGGGGAACTCCGGGGGCGTCATAAACGGGGTGCCTCACCCCCGGTGCTAATGGTTCCGGCCGCGCCGCCCCGCCCCTCTTTGGTTGCCGCGGGTTGCGCGCGCCGAGCCCACGTCGCTAGGGCCTGGCTGCGGCGGCGCGTCCGTTCGCGCTGTGCCCGGGGCTGCCCGAGCAGCTTGGGGTCCCGGGGTCCAGGCCGCAGGTAAATTGGGGTGTCGGAAGCACCCGCGGGGGAATCCACACCAGGTGGGGAAGAAGCGTGAGGTTGCAGCCGACATCCGCGAGCCGAGATGCTCAGGTAGGAAAACAAGAATGCAGGAATCTCGGACATCAACTGGGACACTGACTTGGGGATCGGGGCATATGGTGTAGTTGGAGGGGTGGGTGTGATCTGTCAGTAGTATAATGGTTAAATGCATAAGCTCTGGGCTCTTATCAGGTTCAAATTTCTCTTCCACTGCTTTAGCTTTATTTATTAGGCGTGGCTTGCATATGTGACTTCAGCTTTTGAAGCTTCAGTTTTGTCATCTGTAGAATGGACATAACCGAAGCCACTTCGCAGGACTGTTAAGAGGATTAAATGAAACAATGTTTGTAAAGCTCTTTGCACAAGGTAAGCATGAGATGATACTGGTTATTATATCCACCCCATAAATATTTACAGCATGTAAAGACCGACCCTGTCTCCCCCGTCCCATCATGCCAAGTTTTCTTCTTGGTGCCAAAATAGACACAGACCCCATCTCTTTTTCATCCCTCTAGCATTCTATATTGAGCACTGTATGCTGAGAATGCATATTTATTCATTAAATATTTTCCAGGAGCACCTCTCTCCCTATTGTGATATAGCCAAAAGACAGTTGAACAAATTTCTGAAATGCCTCCTGGGGTTGGAAGCTCCGTTTGAGGAGGACTGGTTGAGGGAGGACCTGGTCCTTGGGATGGGAACTTAAGAGACGGCCCATCTTCCCCTGCTGGCACTGCCCGTGACAGGGGTGCCTGCCTGATCGCCTTTCACAGGGAGTCCTGGAGGCAGGGCCTGGCAGGCAGAGCATGCCCGGTATCACCGGGGACCATGGGCAGCATGAAAACCCCCGTGGAGCTGGCCGTCAGTGGGATGCAGACCCTCCACCTTCAGCACCGTTGCCGGGGTGGCTATCGGGTCAAGGCCAGGGCGTCCTACGTGGATGAGACTTTGTTTGGCAGCCCTGCGGGTACCCGGCCCACACCACCAGACTTTGACCCACCTTGGGTGGAGAAGGCCAACAGAACCAGTCGAGTGGGCACAGGGACATCACAGGCCTTGGGGGCCAACGGGAGCTGTGAGAACACCTCCTCCAGGGTCAGCACCCCGACCCTCACACCGAGGAAGAAGAACAAATACAGGTAACTGAATGGGGAGGTGCATTCCTGTACTCGTGAAGCCACTTGGGTTCCTGTTAGAACCCTTCTGTTCACATGCTGTGTGACCTGGGGTAAGCACCTTGACCTCTCAGAGCTGCAGTTTCCATATGTGGAAGATGGGACCAAGCGGGATTATTGAGAGTAAACGAAGTGAGGTGTGTACAGTGTGACAGTGGTGACGGTGGAACACCTGTTCCCAAATGCCACAGACCAGGCAAGTGAGACCCAGAAGGGTCCGGTGATTTGCACAGAGTCACAGAGCAATTTGCGTGTGGTTGATCCGCGAAATGACAAGTCATTTGGAAATGGTTCTTGCTTGAACAAGTTAGAAAAACAGGAGTTGGTGCTAACATTGTTGTAAGTTAGTTAGACGTTTATTATTGTAAATTGATTAGGTTATAACTAGATTGTTTGGATTATTTCAGGTTAATATCAGCCTGGAGGGAGGTGTCTCGTGGTAGGCCACAGGGCTCTATCTTGTTTATTTTATCATGGGTTTGGACAAAAACAGAGAAGAGACTGACCATAGACCGGGGAGCTTACACAACAAATTAATTTGAGTGCTGGAGGCTCAGAGTCCAAGATCAAGACTGCCACCTTCTTGCCGTGTTCTCGCATGGCCTTATCTCTGTGAGCATGTACATTCGCGGAGTCTCCCCACTTCTTATGAAGGCACTAGTCCTATTCGATCAGAGCCCACCCTTATGATCTTATTTAAGCCTAATCATCTCTTTAAAATTCCGTGTGAAGTTTTGGGAGGGCATAGTTCAATCCGTAACAACTAGCCAATCATATTTAAGGGTCCTTTCTGAGCCAGGAGGACACAGGTTGGTGGAAAGACGTGAAAATGGGAATAGTGCCTATTTAAGGAGATAAGATTCAGTGAGATAGAACCAAGATTCATTATTATTATTATTATTATTATTATTATTATTGAGCGCCCTGCATCTGACATAGGAGGCTTAAGGTAGGGTCGGGTGACATTAGCCGCACTGACACCTATAACAGCTGAAAATGCTGATGTAAATGTAGGCCACATTAACAGAGGTATGGTGTCCAGGACAGGGGAGGTCAACCCCATGCTCTCCTGGAGGATAGAATTTTGTTCAGGATGCTGACAAGTAGAGGGTGTCCGGTGAAAAGGTGCATAAGAGAGAGAGATGCTATTGAGTAAAACCTTTGACACTGGACAGACAGAGGCAACAAGCAGATATGGTTTGAGCAATGAACTCAGGCAGCAAAAAGTTGCCTGGCCAAAGACCATGGAGCTGCCACCTCATAGGTGTGCCATGAATATTTGTGAGACTAATAATAAAAAAAGAAAATTGCTAAGTGAATCTAATTAAAGCTGAGAAGTCACTTATATTTGATATACTGATCCCAGAGCTTGGCCCTTGAGCCGGGCTGGATGTGAATCTTGTCTCTACCCTCCTCCTTGCTCTGGGGCCTTACCCTCCCTAGCCTCCGTGTTCCTGTTTGTAAAATGAGATGATCACATCTCCCTCCTGTGGATGTTTGTGAGAAATAATGGGTTAATGCACATGACTTGCTGCGTCCTGGGCCTGCACATGAAAAGCCCTCAGTAAACATCCAACATTTTAAAAAGTGTGTCTGGTAGTAAGGCCAGGCCAGCTTTATAACACAAGTTCAGACTGAGCGCCCTCTGTCTGCCAGGCACTGGGCTGTGTCACTTCAAATACAGTGGGACGGGCCACAGGGCTGCAGAGGGCTCAGCTGACAAGGCCACTAGGAAAAAGAATGGGGTGCGGGGGGGAAGCAAAAAGGTCATATTAACTGGGACTCTTTTGGATACAAGTGACAAAACTTAACACAAACTGGTTTCAGCAGAAAAATAATGCTTGGGGCTTGTTTATCAGGGGCTCGGACTCTTGTTGGATTCCGTCTCTATCTTAGCGCGCCTTTCCTCCCATGTTCCAGCTGAGCCAGCGGCCAGCTGCTTGGCCCTTTCGTCCTGCCGGCCTATCAGGTTGGCAGACAAACATCCTTCCCAGTAGTTTCAACAAGGGTCCTACGGCAGCTCTGGTTGGATAGGATGGGTCATGTGGCCAATCCCAAGCCAATCAGTGTGGCGGGGAAGATGGAATATGCAAATTGGCCGGGCCTGGAGGGGCTGGGGTCAGGATTCTCAGCAGGGGAAAAAGACAGAGATGGGAGTGGTGGCACATGGGAGGGCTGTGGCCTCCCTGTGGGTGCCAGGCTGGGAGACAGGGACTTCGACATCTACAGGCAGCCCTCTGTGCTACTGCAGGTGCCCAGCAGGGGGGGTAGGGGCTTACGGGTTTTAGGCTTTGTTCACTCCCCCAGCTCACTGCATTTCTCTCCCCTCTGCCAGACTGATCAGCCACACTCCTTCTTACTGCGATGAGTCGCTGTTTGGCTCCCGACCCGAGGGCACCAGCTGGGAGGGCCCGTGGATGGCAAAGGGGGATGCTGCAAAACTCCATGCCCTCTTCTGGACACCCCCAGCCACCCCCAGGGGCAGCCAGTCGCCCCGCCCCAGGGACACCCCATTGCGAGCCGTTCACCCAGCTGGTCCCTCGAAGCCAGAGCCCAAGGTGGCGGCAGATACCCGGAAGTTGTCCGTGGACGGGTTAGACTCTCCACGCCCTCCGAGGCGAGAACGTTCCCATTCCCTCACACACCTGAATGTCCCCGGCACGGGTCGCCCACACACCAGTGCCTCCCACGCCAATGGGCCTCGGGATTCCAGGCCTTCCCCGTCGGGGGTGACCTTCCAGAGCCCCCTCGTGACTCCCAGGGCTCGCTCAGTCCGTGTTTCAGTGCCAGCCGCCCCTCAGCGAGGTGGGGCCACCCAGAAACCAAAGCCCCCTTGGAAATGAGTTTCTTGGTTCTCAGGTTTGCTCGTGGGTCACAGTGAGGGGCACGGTTTCAGAGGAGGGCACTGGTTGGGGGCGCCTCTGGAGAACCAGGGTCTCCTAGGTAACCACGAGGCATCGGAGAAGCGCTCGTGGGGGCAGACGCAGCGAGGGCGGGCCGTGCCTCTGTGCTGACAATCGCCAGTTCCTACCTTTGACCCCGTCGTGTGGATTTGACGGCCGCCCCTTAAGACTCCTGTACTGGTGTTGCCATGGCCACAGGCCGTATGAGTGCCAACCCAGGGAGAGGCCCGCCGCTCCCCCATCACTCCCACAACGTCTTGCCACCAAGTGTGAGTAAGTAGCACGATCGCCAACCTGGAAGGTCCCTTCTTCAAGCCAAGCTTCCTGCTCAGGATGAGTTTCCAGCTGAGTCTGGAGTTTTCCCAGGCACAGTGTGTGGACCATGGGAAACAGGATCTGGGTGACATGCGAGTGGGCATTTTCTAACTTTAATAATCATGTATTTGTTTCCATGTATTAAATATATCAGTAGCGTATCAAAGCCATGACTTTGACTAATTTGATTTTCCTTAGGGGAAAGGCCACCACAGGCCCGGGTTGCATTAAATAACAAAGGTAAATAATATAACAAGGAAGTGGCAGAAATCACGACAGTGGCGAGTTGGCCACTTGGAGTTTGGGAACATGGGCCTCATGCATTTTCCACATTTGCCGAAAGAACAGTGACGAGGACCTTGCCGAGTACAGGGGTCCAGGAAGGCCAGAAAGTTAGACGTGCGACTGGAGAGCACTCGAGACAGAGAGGCGGAAGCCGGCCGGGAGCCCCTTCCTCTCCGGCCCTGCTGCTTGTCATTGGCCACCCTGGGCCGGAGCACTGATGAGAAACGGTGAAGCCTTTGCTCGGATGGAGTTGCACCCGGAATCCCGGGATCCTGCCGGATTGGGGTGGGGGCTGGGCTCTGGCCTCTCTGTGGCCTCTCCGCCCGGCTGCACTGAAGACGGTGACCGCCCATGTGGGAGGATACTGGGCAGCCGACAGCGAGGCCGTGTGTCTGGAGGGCAGCTGGGAGTGGCGGGGACGGGGCAGCCTGCGGTGTCTGCCATCTCAAAGGTGCCGCTGCTCGGCTCGGAGGACAGGTGGCCCCAGGCTATCCGGATGAGATTTTTCCAGAAAAAGCCAGATTTCTCTATGATAGCCCCTGATTTTTTAAATGCCAGTAGTGAATAAAAATAGATACGAATATTCGACTACCTGGGCACCAAATAAAGCCGGCATAAGGCTGGAGGCCCTGGAGCTTTCATGGCGCTGGATGAGGGAGAAATTGGGGGCAAATGGATAGCCCCAGGGCGGGGTCTCAGGGCAGCCTGAAACCCTGATCCTCCCAGAGCCAGGGTCCGGCTTGCCGCCGAGGCTAAAGGAAGGAATGGTTGTGTGCTGGCCCCCAGCGCGTGTGCCCTCCCCACGCAAAGGGCATCTACGAGCATGACACAGACGCAGCCAGCAGCCCCGGGCAAAGCGACGTTTATTCGTAGGATGGGACTTGAGATGGTTTTTAACTTTGAAAAATCCCTCCAGCCGGGAATGGCCGGGCTCCCCCTCCTCGTGGCCCCCCGGCCTGCTCTCCGAGAAGTGAGGAGCGCGGCGACACGGGTGGGGAGTGGGGCGCCCAGGGGGAGACTCACTTCCTGCCCTTGCCCTTGCCCTTGCCCTTCTCCTTGCCCTTCTTGCCCCTCCCTTTGCTCTGGCTTCGCTTTTTCCTGGACCTGAGCACGGAACGGACCAGGTAGCCCTTCCACACGGCCTGGATGAGCGTGGCGGCCCGCACCATGCGCAGCATCTCCTGCTCGGCCTCCGTTTTCTTCTTGGCATTGACCTCCCGCTCGGCCCGGATCTGGGCGAACTCCTCCACGAGCACCTTGTACTTCTGCCTCAGCTCCTCCAGCTGGACCTTCTCCTCCTTGTGGATGCTGTCGAGCTCCTCGTACTCGTCCTGGGGTGGGGGGGCAGGGGGTGGGGGTCACCGAGCACGGGGCGCCGCCTGCCACCCTCCCCTGCGTGCACCCCCGCCCTTCCCGAAGGGGCTTCCGCCCCGGCAGTGCCGCCTACGGTCCCAGAGCTGTGGGGAGGTGGGCCTGAGGGCACCCTGTTTTCTAGGTCTCCGTTCGCTAAGTGCTTCCTCCAGGCCGCGTCCTGCGCCGGGTGCTAGCATTTGTGACCGTGGTGCCTCACTGTATCCCCTTCGTGGTCCCGGCACGGGGATGACTGTCGATCACATGCAGAGTCAGGCTCAGAAAGGTCAAGCCCCTTGCTTCAGGTCACACAGCGGGTAAGGGACACTGGAGTAGAAGCTCCAAATGGTAACAGGGACCAGCTTCACTGCGCTGTCGCAGCAGGGGGACATCTCAGGCCCTCACGAGAAACCTGGGCGCGACTGAGGGAAGCAGGGGAGGCAAGCCCGTGCCTGAGTCTGCCCCGGAGGAGCCCTGGCTCATGAGGCTGCTGGCAGGAGCCGGGTGCGGAAGGGACAGAGAGTATGGGATGTGGACACTAGATGGAGCCAAGATCGCTGGGCCCAGTGACAAGCGCTTAGTGGCTTCCGGCTTCCGGCTCCTTCCTCTCCCACCTCTCCCCACGCTGTGCGAGGCCAGACAAACCCTTGGGCCTAAGGTAGGGGGGCAGGGAAGCCTGTCTGGGGAGGCCCAGAGCTTGGCACAGACCACGGGCCTTTCCTAGAGGACCACGGGAAATGCACTCGAGAGACTGCAGCACAAATACCTGCTTCTCGCCCATCTCCATGTCGTATTTCTGGATCCAGTTCTCGATTTCCGTCTCCACTTTGTATTTCTTCTAAAAAGAAGTCAACGAGTCATTGTTTGATGGATTCATAGGAACAACAAACCATGCCGAGCTCACTCTGCAACAAGCTTTAACGTGCCTCGCCCACAAGGTAGTTTTCTCCATTTCACAGATGAGGAAACTGAAGATCAGACATGCTAACTCACTTGCCCAAGATCACAGAGCAAATGAGAGGTAGAGCCTGAATTTGAGGCCACAGGCGTCTGACTCCAGAACACTCTAGGCAGAGGGAGCAGCCAGTGCAAAGGCCCTGAGGTAGGAACAGGCTTGCGGTGTTTAAGAGCAGAAATTGAGCCAGTGTGGCCGGAAATGGAGTGGCTGAGGAGGAGCGGGGTCCCAGGGAGGTCAGAGTCAGAAGCTGCATCACCGAAGGGAGTGTCAGCGGTGGAAGCAATTTGGATCCTAGTGTAAAGGAGACGGAAAGCCATTGGGTGGATTTTGATGCAGGAGAGGGACATAATCTGTTTTTTAAAGATCAGCTCCCCTACCTACAACGGAATGTTATTCAGCCATAAAAAGGAACGAAGTATTGACAAATGCTACGTGGATGAACCTTGAAAACGTGAGCTAAGGGAAAGAAGCCAGACACAAAAGGCCACATATTCTATGATTCCATTTATATGAAGTGTCTAGAACAGGCAAATCCATAGACACAGAAAGCAGATTAGTGGTTGCCAGGGGCTGGAGGGAAGAGGGAATGGGGAGTGACTGCTTAACGGGTACGGGGTTTTATTTGGGGGGATGGAAACGCTCTGGAACCAGATAGAGGAGGTGGTTGTACAACACTGAATGTACTAAATGCCACTGAACTGTTCACTTTAAAATGGTTAAGTTTAGGGGCGCCTGGGTGGCTCAGTCGGTTGGGCGTCCGACTTCAGCTCAGGTCACGATCTCACGGTTCGTGGGTTCGATCCCCGCGTCGGGCTCTGTGCTGACAGCTCAGAGCCTGGAGCCTGCTTCGGATTCTGTCTCCCTCTCTCTCTCTCTGCCCCTCCCAGGCTCACGCTCTGTCTCTCTGTCTCTCTCAAAAATAAACATTAACAATTTCTTTTGGTGGTTAAGTTTATGTTATGTGAATTTCAGTGAAAAACAAATAAACCAACTCCCTAATCCTACAGGACAAGAGCTCTTGACTTGGGCACCATGGACTGGCTGGCTGCAGAGGGCCTGTGCCCCCCAGAACCGCCTCCCGGACGTGCAGGTGTATCTGTGCCTTCTTACGGAGGAGAGGCCCATGGCTTCCATCAGATGCTCAAGAGTCATGACACTAAGATGAAAATTGGGAACAAGTATTAGAGAATTCCTTTATGAGGAAAGAGATCCGGAAGCAAGCTGGGTGTGTGCAGGCCCAGGGTCCAGAGGAGATGCTGGAGAAGGCAAGAGAAGTGATGTGTCCTGAGCACTTAATGCACTCACTTTCCACCTACCGTCTCATTCGATTCTCCTAATGACCCCTTAGACCGATCTGCTCACTTTCGTTTTAAAGATGGCAACACGGGCTGGAGGGAATTACGAAATTCGCCTGAGGTTTAGGAGCTCCTTCAGGTCCTTTGCACGACAAGGTGGGTGTTATCATCCCTCTGGGGCTCAGAGTAGTTAAGGCACTTGCCCAAGGTCACACAGCCAGCGTGCAGGAGGATAGGACCAGTGTCTCCGCCCCAGCCCCCAGGCCCATGTGTAGCACCGGGGGTGGGGTGTAGACACTGGCTCATTCCTGCACTTCCCCTGTTCCCAAGCCCTCCTCCTCAGGGGAGCTGTTCCCTGGCTGGCTGGGGGAGCCCTACCCTGCCCCGCCCTCCTGCTAGACCACCCCTCCCCTGCCCCCGGGGCCTCCTCCCCTCCCTGCTGTCCCCTGTACCTTCCTCAGCGCCTGCTCTGCCTCCCGGTTTTCCACGACCAGGTTGTGGTGTTGTGACCTCAGCAGCAGTATCTCCTGCTGGATCTTGGCCACCCTGGCCTGCGAGGCCCGGAAGTCTGCCTTCTGCTGCTTCTCGGCCTCCCGCTTGGTGCGAAGGAGGTTGTTCTCGGAGAGCCTGAGCACCTGGTGCAGGTGGTTTTTCAGTTCTTGGATCACGAAGTTCTCTTTCTCCACCTGGGCCAGGAAGACGAGAGGCTCCATCATTACCTACGTGATGCCCGATAGTCTCAGGAGAACTGGTACCACACGCTCCCTTGCGGGGGGAGCCGGCCACCTGCGCTGTTACCTGGCGGAACCTTGCCCCCAGTGCCCAAGGGGGACGGAGACCGCCTGATCACAGCCAAGGAAATTGAGGCTCAAGGGCATCGACTCCTCTGTCTGGGGCTGTACAGCTGAGCCGGGGAGGGGTGGGGGTACTTGAAGCCAGGTCTGTCTGATCCAGACCCCATGTGCTTGGCCACCCCCTCTGTCTCCTGGCTTGAGTGATGGGCACAGGCAAGCTGGGGCGAGGCCTCTGGGCAGGTCTGGACGGTGGCACAGAACAGGAGTATCCCGTTGGCAGAGACACTAGGAGTGTTTCATGAGAGCACGAGACACACGTACTGTGGGGATTGCCCCCCGCTAATGCTTGAGGGACAAAACCGCCCTCAGAAGGTTCTAGAACAGGAATGGGGGTGGAGGATGGGGCCATTTTGTAAATAAGCTCCAAAGGCTGGCCACAAGCCCCGGAGTCTCCCTGTGAGCACAGCAGTGCTGTGACTGGCTCCTGCCAGCAGCCTGGGGGGCTGGGGTCAACTGGCAGGGGGGACCCCTGGGGGTCCGAGCTCTTGACCCCGCGGCAGCCCAAGGGTGTCACCCTCTCATTTCACACTGAGATCCAAGTGACACGATAACACTTGTCAACCCGGAGAAATGGAATTTGAGCCCAGATCTGTCCAACTTGGAAGCCCAAGCCGTCTCCACCACCCGAGTGGGACCCACTAAGCTGTTTGGGGCCCCTCTCCCTGTCCCTCGCCAGCGCTCTTCCAACCTGTGCGTGGTCTCCCCTGACCGAGCGCCCCGGGCCGAAAGAGACAAGGCCCCCGTCCTCTTATGGGGTGCCAGACCCGAATCAAATCACCAGATAAATAATCGCATAAACATTCCTCAACAAACTCTGCTTTCAAGGACAAATTCAGTGAGAACCTAAGGAGGTTCAGCCTGAGCTAGGGCGTGGGGGAGGCCGGGCGGCAAACAGTTTCGCAGGGCCTCGCGCTCTGTGTATCACAGGGGGCTGGAAATGGCAGTGCCAAGGCTGTGGAGCAGAATACTCCTGGGAAACATGGCCCCAGGCACGGACGACCCTTCCCAGCAAAGCCAGCCACAAGGTGTGGCTAAGATCCGTGACCGTGGGCTACTTCCAGGTTGCATCCCCAAAGGGCCAGGGTCAAGGCCCTCCTCCCCTTTCTGCCTCCTGTTGGCTGGACCAGCGGTGACATGATGGGGGTCTTCTGGGTCCACGGTTAGAAGCCCTGTGTGGGCGGGGGGGGGGGGGGGGGG